GGGAAAGGCTTTGTGTATGGGTTTGTTGAAGATATTTGTGAATTTGATAGTTTCCAAATTATTGGAAAAATGCAAAAATCAGTACCATACTCCAGAGGGCTTTTCAAGTTCACATATAACTGTAACTCCATCTAGTCTTCTAACCATTTACTTATAAAAATTAATAGTTGAAAGTATTAACTAATTAACTATGTTTATTACCTACTGTATAATATACAAAAAGTAAATCCAAAGACTAGAAATTAATAGACTAAAATGTTAATTTTATTTTTATTTTTTATTTATTCATATGATATATTTATATACATTTTGCTACATTTACCAATGTTAATTATAAGAGTTATAGTTTATGTTTGTAAAATAATATTATAAAATAAGTTAATCCAAAGACTGGAAAGTAAAAGGTGTTATTTTTATTTTGTTTTCTTATTATTTATTGATAAAGTTGATAAATTTTGTTGTATTTTAATAATAAAAAAAAAGTTTAATAGTAAAAGTTCAATTTTTTAAAAATATCAATAATTGTTTCTATTCAACACCCTGTTGCTATAATAGAAAAATGTATGAAAAAATCATAAATATTTCTATTGTCACTAACTGTCGGGTCAATAGAAACAGAGCAAATCCAATACCTTCGTCTACACGCTATTGTAGACCAATACAATCCTTATATATATAAAAGAACAGGCCTTTTTTATGTACCAATTTTGTGACGACGCTATTTAACTTTTTTTCCAATTTTTTTTCACAAAGTTGTTCCAAATACCTTCGTGAGTGTCACCAAACCCCCCAGTTTTTAAAAATTTTGATTTTAAAGGGTTGAAATTGGCAAAAATAATTGTTTACGTGTAATTTGTAATAATGTATAATAATAAAACAATAATTAATAATTAATAAAAATAATATTAATAATTCACAAACACCATCTGGTATGCCTCCTCATAAAATATCACTGAAGGTGGGGGTTCCAATCATATTATTGAGAAATTTGAATTCTCCTAGATTATGTAACGGGACTAGGCTTCGTGTCACCTCTCTTACAAAAAATGTAATCGAAGCTGAAATTTTGACCGGATGTGCTAAGAGAGAAAAAATATTTTTACCGAAAATACCATTATACCCCAACGATTTTCCAGTTAAGTTTAGAAGAGTTCAGTTTCCAATAAAAGTCTGTTTTGCAATGACAATAAACAAAGCTCAAGGTCAGACTTTAACTTATTGTGGTGTAGATTTAGAAAATAACTGTTTCTCACACGGACAATTGTATGTGGCATTTTCTAGAGTTGGAAGACCTGACCATTTGTACGTTTATGCACCACAAAATAAAACTCTAAATGTGGTATACCAAGAGGTTTTGACTTAAACCATATTAGAATTGAGCAACTACGTATCATTTGTAAATATTCATAAAAAAAGTTATATCATTTGTAAATACTATTATTATTATTTTTGTTGTCTTTATAATTCAGCAACTACTACCTTTTTAGCACTTGATAGCATTAAGTAAAATACATATTTTTTCTTCTTTAAAACACAACAATTTGTGTTGATTTAAGAATTTAATTTTGATAAAACAAAAACTACACTCGGGCGAAGCCGGGTAATTCAGCTAGTTTATGTATAATAAAGATATGGTAGAAATAACATAAAATGAAGTAGAAAAAGTGGAAAAAGAAATTTCAGAACTAAAACATCTCAAATTAAATATGAATAATAATGTTGTGTCTATTAATTATATAATGGTAATGACGATTATTGATGGCAAAGTAATAAACACTTTAATTGGATCTTCAAGCCAATAGTTTGTTTTATTTGTAAATGCAACCCTACAAATATGAACAATTTAGACCCAATACACAAATTTAAAATCAATGAAAATAATTTTAAGTACGGTTTATCCACATTGCATGCCTGGATGACATTTTTAGAGTGCACTTTACAAATTGCATATAAATTGGAATCGGATCCAACAACTAAAAGAACAACTGCTGTACAAACAATTTTAATTCAGAAAAAAGAAAGAAATACAATCTCGTCTTTGGGAAGAATTAGGTTTAAAAGTTGACAGAGGGGTTCAGGGTATGGGTACATCCAATACGGGGAATGTTGCTCGAAGATTTTTTAAGAAACCGGAGAGAGTCTCCGAGATTTCAGGATTTGATGTTCGTTTAATCCATACATTTTCAATAATAAAAACAGTGAATTTTAGTGGTCATGAATAAACTACGAAAGATTTGATGAGTATGCTAGAGAAACAGCTTAACTTTATGTAAAGTTATATAATTGGTACCGTATGCCTCCAAGCGTACACAACATTTGGATACATGGCTCTTTAGCAATCAAAATATATGCCCTTGTTCCTATTGGACAGTTATCTGAGGAAGCTCAAGAGTCGCGGAACAAAGACTATATTATACGAATGCGAGAACATCATTCAAGAAAATCGTCAAGCTTTAACACAAATGCAGATTTATTTAGCTTTCTTTTGATAACATCTGACCCAATTTATAACAGGATTAAGACCTCAGAGTAAAGTATCATCAACTGAATTATCTCCAGAAGCAATACATTTATTGAATATTTAAAACTCCAAAGATAAAGAGTCTAACGAAGAGAAAGCTGAAAGTTGTAGTGATGACTAGACTTAATTTTAAAATGTATTACTTAAATATAATATTGAATGGTTTCTAAGATTTGTTTTGTATTAACTTAAAAATATGTATTCTAAAAATAATAAATTGAACACACTAAATATTATTGTTTTAAAGTATTTTATATTTTTGGCCGGCAGCTAGAACTCGTATTCCTCACACTGGGGCGTCCCACGGCGCGCCCCAATAGGTACACCGCGTTATACAGAGGTACACCAGGGCAATACTACGCTACATGGTGCACCGTTGTAGTACGTATATACCTTGGTAGCACGATTATACCGCCCCGGTGCGATATGTCTGGTGATAATTCGGTGTGTATAGACCGTCTGAAAAGTCGTCATATGCGAGTCAATATAATACTCTGACACGCGTTGATGCACTTGTATGTCAAGAATAACAGTTCCCGCCGCGGTGGTGGCCATAGTCGCCTGCCCTTGGCTGTTATACTAATTATAGTCCGCTTCGTCTTAGGTCCGCCGAAAAGATATTTAAGATTCTCATTTCAAACCAACGACTCAACAACATATCTGGTGAAGTAACAAACGAAACCAGCTGTTTGTACAAATTTGTGAGTACCTACCTTAGTATCTTATATACTATTATGTTTTGTAAATTTTTGCGAAAAGTCTCGAGTCGTACCTACGTGTATTTATTATTCAATGGGAGATACTGAAAAAATCCAAAAAGAAATTATTGAAAACCACTGCACAACAAATAAAACAGCTTATTGCTGATAAGCTAATCTATATACAGATTATAATAACATTATATGCATACAGGGCTGGTTGTAAGTTGGGGGGGGGGAATAGGAAATTTACCTCGGTGGCTGAAAAATGAACAAAAAATTAAATTTTGTTTGTAAAGGAAACATCAGTCTGAAAAATTATGTGCTGAATAATTAATAGTGATATTTACAACTATTATTTAGTTTAAAATTGTAATATTATTCGTGTTATCTTATGTGAGTGTTACAACAATTGTGAAGTAATTTTTTCAGGAGATTATTGCGGTTGAAATGCATTTTTTTGGCCATTTTTTTAGGTAGTATTTAGGGCATTTAAATCCAGGCCCTAATTATAATGTATAATTATCAGAAGTTAGTGCAAATTCCAATTTAATATTGTATCTCTGTACTGAAATAACTTTAAAATTAGTATTCGAAAAAAATATTAATTGGTTAATTTTGTTGGTAAGTATTATGTATTTAGGTATATTTGGAAATTAAATGGCCAGACATCATATTGAAAACAGTATCAGTCATCAGACACAATTGAAGAAAGAATAGTGCAATGCAGTATGCCAATAACGACCACGTCAAGCACTTCACTAAGTATACAACTGCTGAATCGTCATTTTAATCTAAACGGTTATTGAGAATTGTGTTTTATATTATTCAATTTTGCAGGAACTGTAGACCCAAAGCCAACCAGACTGTTGGAAGCTGTGCTGTGAGTGAAAGGCGCCAAGCAATGGAGTACTGGATACGTATAGTGCAAGGAGCAGAATTCATCATGGAACTAACCTCCCTGACTCGGCAATAGAATGTAAGGATTTACTTAAAACTCGCTGGTTTGAATCCCTTTATAGATGAAAAAAGAATATTAAGGCGGTGGTGTCAAACATTCAGAATTGGCTTATGACATGAAACATCCTATTATTCTACCAAAAAATCACTCCTTCACTACAAAGATCATCAACCAAGTGCACCTACATAACTTACATTCAAGCTTGACGGTTTCTATGACCCTTCTTAGACAGAGATATTGGATCATATACAATATAAACTCTATCAAAAAGGTTAGGTAATAAACTAACTGTATTAAATATTATCGATTTCAAAGGCAACATGTCACCAACTTATTATGTCTAATCTACCTACATCCAGAATTAAACCAACATCTGCATTTGAAAGGGTTTGCCGGCCCATTCAATGTCAAATCCAAATTGCGCTGTCGTACCTTCACAAAATCCTACCTTTTTTTTTGTGTGGTATCACGGCTTGGAAGAGGGGGCACTTCACCCTTAGCGGGCCGTCATTCCCCTCGACTTCCGTATCGTTTATCAAGCCAAAATCGCCATTTACTTTAAAATCACTTTAAAAAAAAAGAAAGAATACGTTTTAGTGTGCTTTGCACGTACAAATAAGAGAGGTTAGGTTAGCCAGTGTTCCCTCGATTATCCAGCGGTTCATCCACCATCGGTCGCATTCAAATATCGCATACTCAACGTCATCCTTTGGTGCTAACAATCTATGCAACTAGGGTCGTTCAATTTCCCCATCCGATGCAAATACTGCCTAAAACAACCGTGTCCTGTAAGTACCTGTGTGAGTTGAAAGTTGACGGCTCAGCCTTTTCGGTTAAACCAGGTCTTCACATTCCTGATAAGTCTCCAGGTCCATCTTCCCGTGTCTGGTTCCTGATAACATTCTGACTGCCATTTGTTGAATACCTCTTCACGTATTTCCTTCTCCATTGACGCTCTATCAGGCTCACTACTGATTTCATCCCTTCTGGTCCGTTCAAAAGCAAGAAGGTGTGCACGTATGATCCCGGCCGCAACCATGATCGCCGCTGTTGAAACTGTTCTGTACGCCATCTCTGTCCTCAGCGCAATAGTTTTTTGAGGCCTCAGGATGGTTCGGACGTTTCTCTTGAAGACTAGGGCCACCGACCAGACTAGTGCTGAGTACAGTAGCTTACTCATTAATTCTGTAGGTGCCTCTTCTGTTGGCAGGGGCCTCCTACGTTCGGCATTATTCTCCATAATTCCTGTGTAGTGCCCTTGAAGCTTCCGTTCCAAGGTATGCGCGGAAACCGAGAACTCTGTGAAGTTCCACTCCTAAGTATTTGATCTGATCCTTTATCTGGATACTTTTCAAACCGACAGTGAAAGCTCTGCCGTGTCTATCCATTTTGCTACTGCGGCAAGCGCGTTGTTCGTAACCTCTTGTAGGATGTTAGTTGTGCGACCTGTTGTGACAACCACCACGTCGTCGGCAAACGCGACCAACGTGGTAGATTACCTACCCTGTCGGTTGTCTCCTGTTTCCACCCTGAGCAAGTTGTCATACATGAGGTTCCACAGCATTGGCCCCAGCACCTACCCCTGTGGTACGCCACATGTTATGTAATTGTTTCCACTATTTTCGTACTGGTGCTTTCTCTCACTTTAGTAGCTCCTTATAATTCCCACGAGGTATTCTTGTACTTCCTTAGCATGTGGAGACTCCTCTATCCTGTACCACTTAGCGGTGTTGAAGGAATTCGAGACGTCTAAGGAAACTACCGCACAGAGATGCCTATTGTACAGTGGTCCGGTTGAGGCGTTTTTTACAATCCATAAACTAAAATGTTTAGTGTTTAAATCGATAATTGATTCCATGTGGTTTTCTAAACGTGCTATAATAATGCGTTTGAAAAGTTTCCAATCGTATTCAGCTGACAGATCGGTCTGTACGACATACGGTTGTCTAATGGCTTGTCTCCTTTGCGAAGCAGCACCAATTTTGCTACTAAAGAATGTTTACTACTGGTTGCTACTAAACATTCTTTTGGAAACATACTTTCTCTTAGACATGCATTGAACAGGTCCCTGAAAATTTCGGGTTTGTAAGGGTGCTTGACCACCAAGTCGGGAACTCCATATGGACCAGGAGCCTTACCCAACGGTATTCTCCGGCTGGCCTCGATTACTTTTGCATTCGTTACTTCTGGGAAGCAGGGTTCTGCGGCCATGTAATTTCTGGAACCTGAAGTAACAGTGAATCGATGCAGCCTGCCAGGAATAGGGAGTCCCTGGACCGGTCTTCTGTAAGTCAGCATTTTCATAACGATCCTGGACGGTAGGCCCCACGGATCTGATTCCACAAGTGCACATAATATATTCTTCCAGCTATCTTCTTTACTTTTCCTGATTGATCTCTTTAGTTTCTTCTTAGACTCTTTAAAGCTGATGTAGTCTGATTCTTGCGTGCTAGTCTGGTGACAACGGCTTCTCTTATATTTCCTCCATGCTTTTAAACAGTCTTTCCTAAGTTCAGCGATTTCTTGGGACAACCAACAAGTAGGTATCTTGCCTCCTTTGTACTTGCCTCGTGGCATACAACTGTTGCATGCCTCTTTCAAGTATCTGCCTATTTCTTGAGTACTTATGGACAGCTATTTTAAGATTTGACCCGGCTAGGAAGTTTCACAGTTTGGCTTGGTTGTACTTTCTCCATTCCCATCTAACGGTAATGTCCTGTTGAGCTGGCTTGTTGGCCATTGATGATATTTCGAAGGATATGTATCTGTGAAGAGAGTGAGTGAACTCGTCCAAGACCTTCCATTCGTTTATTTGTTGTACTATGCTTCCGGAAACGAATGTGATATCGATATGTGACCTTGATACACCCCCATTGTATATTCTCGAGAAGGTCGGCTTATCTCCGCGATTGCATGAGATGAGGCAGAGACTGGCTGCCGAGTCCGTCAGGGCATGTCTCTTCGAGTCTTCGCGATGGTCTCCACACTCCAGAGACTTGGCATTGAAGTTGCCTGCAACTATGACCATGCCATTTATTGTTCTAACGCTAGCCTCGAGGCTGTCAAGGTAGTCGATGAAAAGAGTGAATTCAGTAGTAGGGGATCAATAACATGCTACATGGGTATATTGTAACACCTCCGATTTGTAATCAGGGAAAGCCGCCTTCGTTGTTTTCTCTATTAGAACTTGCAGTTAAGTACGGCTATTGTATATCTGATTCTAGCTTCATCGAACCATCCCTCTTCTTCTCTTCGTGAATGTTTTGGTTCACTTATGATCAAGACGTCGATTCCTAGTTGGTTGGCATGGCTTCCATGAGATCATGTGCCTCTCTTCTGCCATCGACATTAATTTGCAAATTTTAATAATTTTGAGGCATGTGTTGCGATCGTCTTTGGTCTGGTTTATTTTGCTCATCGCCTATCATGTCCGTCTTGAGTTTTCCTTGGAATTTGTTCCTGTCTTCCTATGACGTGGTGCACGCCGCCACCATGTGTCCTAATAGTCTGCAGCCACGGCATGCATTCCGCCTATTAGACCCTACGCAGTTGTTCCAACGTCTCGATTCTCCCATAGGCATATACGGAAGCTGACATAGCCAACTTTCAGTCTCCCGGTGGATAGTAATTTGGGCGCTGCTGCGGTTGGTGACGACGCAACGACCCATTTCTGCCCTGTGCTTAGCATCATAGTGGACACTATACTGATGTCCTCGCTTTTAACTTTGGCCACGGCGCTGATTGCTTCCACGATTTCCTCTAGTTCCGACAGCTCTTCGAGGTCCCATATTATACCTTTTATTCATATATTTGATGACCATGAAGTTAGCCCCCCCACTTTGACGGATTCACTTCAAACCAACGCCAATATTTAGCAAATTAATTGCAAATAATTGCAAATTGGTTTTTAGAATTTGCAAATTTAGTGCACGCTCGCAAACTAAAAAAATGATTTGGGGGGGCTATTCTCATGCAGCCCCCCCACTTTGTCCGATCCGTTCCAAACAAACGCCAATATTTAGCAAATCAATTGCAAATAATTGCAAATCGGTTTTTAGAATTTGAAAATCAAAATTGGAATTTTGGCGAATTTTTTTGCAAATTTGGTCAGCCCCCCCACTTTGTCCGATCCGTTCCAAACAAACGCCAATATTTAGCAAATTAATTGCAAATAATTGCAAATCGGTTTTTAGAATTTGCAAATCAAAATTGGAATTTTGACGAATTTTTTTGCAAATTTGGTCAGCCCCCCAACTTTGTCCGAACCGTTCCAAACAAACGCCAATATTTAGTAAATTAATTGCAAATAATTGCAAATCGGTTTTTAGAATTTGCAAATCAAAATTGGAATTTTGGCGAATTTTTTTGCAAATTTGGTCAACCCCCCCACTTTGTGCGATCCTTTCCAAACAAACGCCAATATTTAGCAAATTAATTGCAAATAATTGCAAATTGGTTTTTAGAATTTTAAAATCAAAATTGTATTTTTCGTGCTTTACTTTTGCAAATAATTTTTTTTTTCCATAATTGTCTTTTATATTCCATCATATTTTTTTTTATTCTACTTAGTTTTTAATACACATAGATTAAAATAGAAATATAGAATAAGATTTTTTATCAAGTATAGATTTTTTTATAAATATTAATTTATTATTTTATGAAATACTAGCTGATCCCGTGCATTCCAAACCGGTGTCAATATTTTGCAAACTAAGTACTAAGTACTAAGTTTTTAAAAATATTTGCAACTATTTGCAGCCCCAAAAAATAAATTTTAACTAATTTAACTACATTTTTACTGTTTTTATAATACTTTTTATATTACATTATCATGTTTAAATGTTGACAACTTTTAATATTTTTTCAACAAAAAATAACAATTATTAATTATAATTCAAAATGTATTATTCTTATGCATAAATTCATAGCGTCAGAACTTAGTTAGGCCTTCGGGCCAACGGCTAAACGCGACAACGCCATACGAAAAAAACTAAAATTACAGGTAGGTCGGAATATTATAAATTATAATACTTAAGTACCACATAACGTATTATGTACGCGATATCCGCAAACAAAATTGAGAGTTGGTTATGAATTTGGCTTTCAAAACCGGGTAAAATTGTTTGCAGGTTTCCAGTCCGAAACCGGGTACAATTATTTGCCTATAGGGCGGGTATGGGGTACAAAAGTGGGTCAAATTGAGAGTGGGTCATTGGTTTGGATTTCATAACCGGGTAAAATTGTTTACCCGCCCTATCCGCAAATAATTGTACCCGGTTTTGGACGCGAAATCCGCAAATAATTTTACCCGGTTTTGAAAGCAAAACCCATAATCCACTCTCAATTTGACCCACTTTTGTATCCCATATCCGCCCTATCCGCAAACAATTGTACCTGGTTTCGGACGCGAAATCCGCAAACAATTTTACCCGGTTTTGAAAGCAAAACCCATAACCCACTCTCAATTTGACCCACTTTTGTACTAAATACCCGCCCTATCCGCAAATAATTGTACCCGGTTTCGGACGCGATATCCGCAAACAATTTTACCCGGTTTTAAAATCAAAACCCATAACCCACTCTCAATTTGACCCACTTTTTTACTCCATACCCGCCCTATCCGCAAATAATTGTACCCGGTTTCGGACGCGATATTCGCAAACAAAATTGAGAGTGGGTTATGGGTTTTGCTTTCAAAACCGGGAAAATTGTTTGCGGATATCGCGTAAGAAACCGGGTACAATTATTTGCTTATAGGGCGGGTGTGGGGTACAAAAGTGGGTCAAATTTAGAGTGGTTTATGGGTTTTGCTTTCAAAACCGTGTAAAATTGTTTGCGTATATCGCGTCCGAAACCGGGTATAATTATTTGCGGATAGGGCGGGTATGGGGTACAAAACTGGGTAAAATTGTTTGCAGGTTTCGCGTAAGAAACCGGGTACAATTATTTGCTTATAGAGCGGGTATGGGGTACAAATGTGCTAGTACCTGCAAAACCCTTAACCCACTCTCAATTTGACCCACATTTGTACATCCATACCAGCCCTATCCGCAAATAATTGTACCCGGTTTCAGACGCGAAATCCGCAAACAATTTTACACGGTTTTGAAAGCAAAACCCATAACCCACTCTCAATTTGACCCACTTTTGTACTAAATACCCGACCTATCCGCAAATAATTATACCCGGTTTCAGACGCGAAATCCGCAAACAATTTTACACGGTTTTGAAAGCAAAACCCATAACCCACTCTCAATTTGACCCACTTTTGTACTAAATACCCGCCCTATCCGCAAATAATTGTACCCGGTTTCGGACGCAATATCCGCAAACAAAATTGAGAGTGTGTTATGGGTTTTTCTTTCAAAACCGGGAAAATTGTTTGCAGATTTCGCGTCCGAAACCGGGTACAATTGTTTTAAAATTATTGTTATTATAATATCAATACTTTTTATTAACTATTCCTAGTCCCGTCACATGGTCGTTATAAATTCAGGGAGTAAAAACGGGTAACCCTCCTTAAATTGTACCCATTTTCAAATCCCAAACCCAATTTGTCTCACTTTTATACCCCTTTACTCGTACCTGCAAAACCCATAACCCACTCTCAATTTGACCCACTTTTGTACCCCATACCCGCCCTATAGGCAAATAATTGTACCCGGTTTCGGACTGGAAACCTGCAAACAATTTTACCCGGTTTTGAAAGCAAAACCCATAACCCACTCTCAATTTGACCCACTTTTGTACCCCATACCCGCCTTTTAAGCAAATAATTGTACCCGGTTTCGGACGCGAAACCCGCAAACAATTTTACCTGGTTTATAAAGCAAAACCCATAACCCACTCTCAATTTGACCCACTTTTTTACTCCATACCCGCCCTATCCGCAAATAATTGTACGCGGTTTCGGACGCGATATTCGCAAACAAAATTGAGAGTGGGTTATGGGTTTTGCTTTCAAAACCGGGTAAAATTGTTTGCAGGTTTCCAGTCCGAAACCGGGTACAATTATTTGCCTATAGGGCGGGTATGGGGTACAAAAGTGGGTCAAATTGAGAGTGGGTTATGGGTTTTGCTTTCAAAACCGGGAAAATTGTTTGCGGATATCGCGTCCGAAACCGGGTACAATTATTTGCGGTTAGGGTGGGTATGGATTAAAAAAGTGTTTCAAATTGAGAGTGGGTTATTGGTTTTGCTTTCAAAACCGGGTAAAATTGTTTGAGGATATCGCGTCCGAAACCGGGTACAATTATTTGCGGATAGGGCGGGTATGGAGTAAAAAAGTGGGTCAAATTGAGAATGGGTTATGGGTTTTGCTTTCAAAACCGTGTAAAATTGTTTGCGGATTTCGCGTCTGAAACCGGGTACAATTATTTGCGGATAGGGCTGGTATGGGATACAAAAGTGGGTCAAATTGAGAGTGGGTCATTGGTTTGGATTTCATAACCGGGTAAAATTGTTTACCCGCCCTATCCGCAAATAATTGTACCCGGTTTTGGACGCGAAATCCGCAAATAATTTTACCCGGTTTTGAAAGCAAAACCCATAATCCACTCTCAATTTGACCCACTTTTGTATCCCATATCCGCCCTATCCGCAAACAATTGTACCTGGTTTCGGACGCGATATCCGCAATCAATTTTACCCGGTTTTGAATGCAAAACCCATAATCCACTCTCAATTTGACCCACTTTTGTACTCCATACCCGCCCTATCCGCAAATAATTGTACCCGGTTTCGGACGCGAAACCTGCACACAATTTTACCCGGTTTTGAAAGCAAAACCCATAACCCACTCTCAATTTGACCCACTTTGTACCCCATACCCGCCCTTTCCGCAAATAATTGTACCCGGTTTCGGACGCGATATCCGCAAACAAAATTGAGAGTGGGTTATGGGTTTTGCTTTCAAAACCGGGAAAATTGTTTGCGGTTATCGCGTAAGAAACCGGGTATAATTATTTGCGGATAGGGCGGGTATGGATGTACAAAAGTGGGTCAAATTGAGAGTGGGTTATGGGTTTT